TATATATATATATACCGTGAAATATTATTCAGCTATAAAAAAGAATGAAAACTTGCCATTTGCAATCACATGGATGGAGCTAGGCATCACAATGCTAAGCGAAATAAGTCAGAGAAAGACAAATACCATATGACTTCACTCACATGTGGGATTTAAGCAACAAAACAAAGGAACAAAGGGAAAAAAGACAAACAAAAAAATAGGCTCTTAACTGCAGAGAACAAACTGGTGGCTACCGGAGGGGAGGTGCGTGGGGGGGGATGGGTGAAGTAGATGGAAGGGATCAAAAAAAAAAGTGGCATGCACCTCAAAAATATCATGTCTTGAGGCAAAGAGAGCATTACACACTGTTGTAGCTTGATTCCAGGATAGTTACTACATAGCAAACAATCATTTTAAAAAGATATGTTCCAAGTCTACTAGAAGCTTCATTATCAGAAGTCCTTTCCAAGGCATAGGACTCCAAAGCTGTATAGAACTTGAATGTTCTTATTTTGTAGATAAGGAAACTCAGGTCAAACGGTTACATGGCTAGGCTGAGTGGACACGTTAGGAGGCCATGTTGAGATTGGCACCCTCCCCTCCTAGTTCACCAGCCATGATCCACTGTAGTGCGTCAGGCTACGTGAAATCTCTGATATATTGTATGCCTTCCTCCCTTCCACTTGGGAAATATTCCTAACTCTTGTAGGATGAGTGTTGCCTCCTACTGACTCATACGATGGCGGACGGCCCAGACTCTGGGCAATGACCAAACTACAAATCCCCAGACTGATTGGCCTTCTCCTCTGCTGGCTGAGGAATCAATCAATTCCTGAGAACAGGCTGAAACAATACAGATAAGACTACGAGGACAGTAAGTATCATAATGTTCCATTACTAAAAGTGGGTACAAGCAATTATATATAATATGGTTAAATCTAAATAAAAACACAGTGCCCCCAAATCACTATAAATAGAAAACCAACAGAAAACACTCCAAAAAGCTGACAGCAGTTGCCTCCAAGGCACTGACTATGACCATGCTATTCTCATCCTCTTCTATCTGCATTTAACTAGACACAATTTTCATGAGAATCTTTTTTAATAGAAAAAATATCTCATAAAGGGAGACCTTCCATCCCCTCAAATCTTCAGCATATAATCAACTTACAGATTTTACCTAATGTGCGATTTTATAAAGAAACACATAGGTTTGGAATCTCAAAACTTTTCTGCATGAGATCCTAAACCTGCTGATTGTACAAAAAGCCATGGAGGCCAGTTTTCTAATGTTTGAGCAGTGAATGCCATAGTACATCATTTATGATATATATAAGTGATTAAAAAAAAAAAACCCAAGATGTTTAATTAAAATCTGTAATAGACTACAAGCACCTAAGCTGCTTATTTTACAGGTAAAAAAAAAAAACATAAAATAGGGAACGCCCCACGTATGACGCTTCCCGAAGTAGCCATGAGAAGTAATACCTTGTGACACTTGCAAACAATTTCTTTGTCTTCAATAGTTGTATTGATCAGGTAAGAAACATACACGAGAAACATTCTTGAACCTACTGTTCCACAGCGAACATACAACATTTTTTCCAGCTGTAACAAAATAAAAGTATTTTAATTTAATAATTTAGAGATTTCTTCCTGGTATATACTCTAGGATAATGTTCCCACCTTTTGGAGTTTACTGTACCAGCTGACTAAATTCTTGAACCCTGTTTACAGGCTGTTCTTGCCACAGTATATGTGGGACCAACCAGTACTATCCCACCTTTTTTATTATCATTCCCAACTGCCCAAGAGCTGTGTTTCGTTTGGAAATAAAAGTTGCTTGAAAGGCTATTTCACAAAGTTACAAACTTAATGTTATTCAGTTATTTTATCAGGCAACTAATTCTCCACATCAGGGCCATTTGTTCTAAAACCCCTTGTATAAAACTGCTTACAACATCTTATGCATCTAAATATGTGTAGACATCTTACGCATTTAAGTGTTAAAAACATGCATTAGTTAAATCCCATTTGTAGTCTCAGAATATGCTGTTACAATGTTCTCTAAAACTCACTACATATTTAAAACCTCAATCTAGTTGATTTCCTCCCCAGTCATAGGTGACCAAGTTCACCTGTTCCCCTGGATGTAAGTCTCCGATAGGAATATCAGTGAGTAAAGCCGGATAGGACTCGTCACATAGTTCTGTTCCATGAAGAGACACATGAGTTTTCTGAGTTAAATTGGCATCCTGTCCTGAAAGTGTTAATATCAGTGTTTTAAAATACGGAGCATTCGGACATTATCCTAACAATTACTACTGCATAGAGAGCATCTCTTACGACCGTATTTTAAACAAACTTCCTGTGGTTGACACCACTGATACTTATTTTCTGTTGAACGAACACTGATCAAATGTGGAAAAGGAATGTTTACCAGGTTTTAAACCAGCGGTGAGCTTCACGTCTCTGATTTGGGTCTTTTCATGGGACTGAACAGTCACAACCAAACAATACATTTCATTCGTCAGGGCAGGAGGGTCATGCCGCAGATGCACGGAAATGTTTGGAACTCTGGAAATAATCCTTTGAGGGGGGGGGGGTGGAGAAAAACCCAAAACCTTAGCTAAGCAACCGATTAAAAAAAAAAACAGGTTCTTCAAAGTATTTAAAAGAAGTAAGATGACCTTCCTCAATCTGCCTAGCAAGGTCGACTTACATCGTGCTGGCCTGAATGACTATGCTGTCCCAGTGAAGCTCATTGTCAGGGAGCTTGGGTCGCCTTTTGAAAGAACGCGAGGCCTGCAAGGCTTCTTGGGAGGAGGCAGCGTCCCCTCCTCCTCCCTGCCAATTTAAAACCACACATCTTCCCGACTCGTGGCCCAGAACTAGATCGACCGAAGTAATCTGAAAGACGGAGGGTTGTCAGAAATGCCACCTCATACTTGTCACCATCCCCTCTCGACAAGTTACACAGCAATTGCTGGTGTGTGGAGTTCATCTAGAGACCCCCCCAGGGTGAAGTCAGAACACCTGCTGTACAGCTGTCCCCGACATCTGTTAGCTATGACACTGACTAGGTTCCACCCGCTTCACCTTTAAACGGAGATAATAACCTGACATAACAAATGCTCAATTAGTGGTTGCTGAGTGAGATACATGAATATTTTCATGACCATTAGCATACTCATAACCGAATTCCTAATTCCACACATATTTTTTCCCCAAAGACACGTATAATACTATTAACGGAATAAATATTCCTTTCAACAAAATCCATTAACAAATGTACTCGAAACAGTATTACTAATTATGATTTCCATCTGGTAGGCTTCCTTAGTATCTTATAAAAAATATGTAATTAGGGATTTAGTCAAAATCATAAAAAAAACTTTAAGTGAATAAGCAAAATCTCTGGATATTGGTTAATAATAAAATCAACAGATTCACAGATACTGTTATGGGAATATTGGTAGTACAGTCTTATGTTTCTATCTCAGAAATGGCCCAAAGTTTAGATGAACCAACTATCGCCATTTAAGCCATGGAAAACAAGCTTACCATATACTAATCACTATTCCAAGCAATTTATGTTAACTAACTGATTTAATCCTCACAAAACACTAAGAGGTAGGGACCATCATTATCCCCACTTTACAAGATGAGTAAACTGAGACACAAAGAGGTTAAGTAATTGCCCAGAGCCCCACACTAGTAGGCTGGAGAGATGGAATTTATTTATTTATTTATTTTTTTAATTTTTTTTTTTTCAACGTTTATTTATTTGGGACAGAGAGAGACAGAGCATGAACGGGGGAGGGGCAGAGAGAGAGGGAGACACAGAATCGGAAACAGGCTCCAGGCTCTGAGCCATCAGCCCAGAGCCTGACGCGGGGCTCGAACTCAGGGACCGCGAGATCGTGACCTGGCTGAAGTCGGACGCTTAACCGACTGCGCCACCCAGGCGCCCCTGGAGAGATGGAATTTAAATCCATGAAGTTTGGCTCCAGAATTTACGCTCAATAAAATTATTACTTCTATCATATATTTCTAAAGTCATTTTAATTATGTACATTAAAGGAATCCTTTAAATATATACATTTTTTTTTAAAAACAGCATTCAGAAATGTTTAGACATCAAAATGATATGTATCTCTAGTGTGAATTATGTCATTATATAAAATATAATTGGTACAGTGTATAATATAGTATTTTGTTTGAAATTCCTTAACTGATTACATAGCCATTAAAACTGAGGTTGGTCTTACGTACTAACCAGAAAGGATGCCTCATATACACTAGTAAGTAAAAAGAGCTAACTGTAGAATATTATGTACAGTATTGTCTCAAAAAAAGAAAACCTACCAAACCATGATGAATGATTTCCCTTAGGAAGTCCAGGTGGAATATTTTCAGTTTTTACTTAATAAACTTGTGCATTACTGACATTTTTTTCTGACGTACACATATTACTTTTGTCATTTAAAGCATGTTTTAAACAAATTTCATCACTAACCTCAATTTTCTTCCCCACATCTTCAGTTTTTGCAACAAATTTAAATAAAAACTTCCTCGTTTTACCAGGAACTAAGCACATCTTTCCCTGGGTCAAATTTTCTAAAACTTCACTTGCTTTAGTTGCTTCTTCGATTACGCAGAACTGGTTATATTCCTGTAAAAGAGGTCAGCAAGGGTCACTGTTTATACACAGCAAGTGTCACATGTTTTGCTCACACTAAACAAAAATGATTTGGAGGTTGGTAAATTTACCTGCAGTATAACTAAAGCATTATGAAGGGTGATTAATGGGAGGTATTTTACGCCAAACAGAAACACTTATCCACTCACTGCTGCCACAAGGTAGAGACAATTCACCACATGCAAGCTGATTTCTGAAAACATTTACAAATCCCAGAGAAGCAAAGATTTATTCTTTGTTTCACTGGACACTACTATCTACTGTCTTTTTTAAGAAGAGCATTCTTTTTACGTGGCTTCTGTGACATCCTTCTTGACTACTTCTTGTTTTTCCCTCAAAGGTCTTTTCTTCTTCTTGTCCCCTTAATTCAGAGGCTCCACAGGCTCAGTCTTCGGCTTTCAGTTCTACTCTCTTTATGTTCATTTCATTGCAGAGTTTATCCATTTTTACATGTTCCATACCTCTATGCTAATATTTCCCACATTAAAAACTAACTCTGTCCTATTTCCTTAACCAAAAGTTCATGTCCACAAACGTCAAGAGGTTAATTCCACTACCACTCAAATTTAGCATGTCCCAAACTCAATGTACATCTACCTTCCTAGAAGAGCACACTCCTTCTGTGATAAATAGAGGTGAGAATAAAGGGAGAGGACTGAAGGGAGACCTCTTTCGTGTGCACGTCTATGGAATCAACATTCTCATCCATTCAGTAAACAGCAAGAACTTCCCAAGAGCTGTCTTCTATCCCAGCAGATGAGTTATCTTACAGAAAATTCTTATTAGTTAACTTTAATACTTGCCTTTGAGTTTTCATTTCTATTCCATGCTTCTGAAACCTAAGGACTACTTTTTTTTTCTTCTGATTCAGATCTTGAATTTCAAATAACATATATTCAGAATATAATCTAACTTTAAAAATGAACTGCTTTACATTTTAACATTTTAAATTAGTTTTTAATTAGTCTGTTTGTTGTTTAAGAAAAGGGGGGAAGAAATGGAATAGTAGGATATTAACAGCAGAAGTACAAGAAGAATCTCTCTATTCATCCTCTAATTCCAGATTTAGCATATCTCCCCAAAACTGTCACCATCGAGCAAAAAAAAAAAAAAAAAAAAAAAAAAAAAAAAAAAAGTATCTGACCTGGGAGAGCTTACATGCTAACAAGGAAAACAAATGACTTACCAACGAATCACACAGACAAAAATGAAACCACAGGTGTGGTAAGTACTAAAGAGGGCTACGGCCAGGAAAATCAGCTAGGCAGGGGGGGTGTCCCTGAGGAAGTAAGGCTTTTAAGGGGATAAAACATGAAAAGGAATTAAGAAGAAGTAACATCACATACTCCTGTCCTACCACAGGGTGATCTCAATCACATGTGGACTCTGTAACTCATAGAAACAGGGTAAAATGGTGGATGCGAAGGGTTGGGGTATAAACTTCCAGTTACAAGACAATAGGTTCTGGGATCTAAGGGGCAGCATGGCGACTATAATTAATAATGCTGTATTACATACTTGAAAGTTGCTGAGACGGTAGATCCTAAATGTTCCCACCACAAAACAAAGGTAATTATGTAAGGTGATGGATGTTAAGTGACTGTGGTCATATTCTGCAGTATATGCGTTTCAAATCATCTTGGAGGTACACTTTAGCTATAAAATACGCACACAAATGAATCGCTTTTTGGTGGGGGTGGGGGCAGGGGCTGTCCTTTATTCTTTACCCTGTACACACACCCAGCAATCCAGACTTCTCTATTCATAGATGCCTCCCGTAGCCCTTTCTTCCTTCCCATCCCCACCAACAGTGTCTTCATCCAAGTCCTCACACGTTAGTACTGGGAAGCACACTAAAGAGGCTCCGGTTGGTTTCCAGAAGATCCTTTCTTTCTATTTTGTCACTGGAATAAAGTGTCTTAAATTCTAAGTTTCATGCTCTTACTTTAAAACCCTCAAACTAGGGGCACCTCGTTGCTCAGTCGGTTAAACATCTCACGGTCTGTGGGTTCAAGCCCCGCATCGGGCTCTGTGCTGACAGCTCAGGGCCCGGAGCCTGCTTCGGACTCTGTGTCTCCCTCTCTCTCTGTTCCTCCCCTGCTCATGCTCTCTCACAAACACAAACATTAAAAAAATGTTTTTCATATACAAATAAATGAAATTCTCCAACTACTCAGAAGGAATCTTTGGGTAATCGTTCAAAACTGAATGAAGCACACCGGTCTGCGGGTGACCCGGGTTCAGCCAACCGGTTCTCTTACGGGGTTAATGCTCAGTTGTGAAGACAGAAAAATCTAGTAAAGCAGGTGAAGCTCTTTCTTTACCACTGTTCAATAAATAGAACATGAATAAGTGAATGAATAAAGAAACCTTTAAATGCGCTGAGCTCGAGTTCCCGTAAGCCACGGAGCCCTGCCTCCCACGGGCCCCTCGCTGCCCACACGCCCGGAACGGGAACGCGTGCCTCCACCCGGCGTTGGCAAGTGCCAAGCCTGCTGCCCCTCTCATCTCTTTATAGCTCCCTTCATCTCATCTTCATTCTTGAAACTTCCTCCTTCTTCTCTGGCACGCCTACTCTAACTGTATTTCTGGCTTACGCCACGTAATTTAGTCCTCGTTACCTACCTACTAGGGCAATCTGTGAGTCAGTCCTGGCCCCTGCCCCCAGAACGCTTCCATTTTAACAGAGCTGACATATGCTAAACGTTCGCAGGCTCACCTCGATGCTAAGAACACTGTAACTCTCATTAGACGCTTGCTGGTTAAAGGCTCCATGTGCTTTCTGGGGGACCAGAAGATAATTATCTATTATGTGAGCTTCTAATTGGAATATTTGGAATACACTGTAACACACTACAAAAATGTGCAAGTGTATATAATCCCGGCCCTGCAGAAAGAAAAAGCTGCTTATATGTGCACACACAGAAAACGTCTAGACTGTTCAAGAAGTTACTAGCAATGACTTCTGGGCAATGGAGTTGGACACAGCATGCTTACTTTTCATTTTATATCCATCCAGTCCACTTTACTTTAACACCAACCGTTTAGTAGTTTTATAATAAAAAACTAATACCGTTGTTAGAATACAAAACAAATGATTTAAAAATTAAATTACATTCATCCTGAATAGATCTCATTTGAAATTCAAGTTATATATCACAACAGATAAAGTTCTTATAGTTCGTAAGGATGGAATAATAACAAAACTTAAAGAAAAGTGTAAGTAAAACTTGAATGGCTGATACAGAAGTGAGAACTATAAATATATTTATTTTCAGATAGAGTTTACCAAAGCCCATTTGTTACTATGAAACCATTATGACCTAAAATTCACTAAGCTTATTTCATCTAATTTAAAATAAGCTACATTAAGATATACACATGCTAGGGGTGCCTGGGCGGCTCAGTAGGCTAACCATCCGACTTCAGCTCATCTCACAGCCATGGGTTCGAGCCCCATGTCGGGCTCTGTGCTGACAGCTCAGAGTCTGGAGCCTGCTTCGGATTCTGTGTCTCCCTCTCTCTCTGCCCCTCCCCTGCTCATGCTCTCTTTCTCTCTCGAAAATAAACAAATATTAAAAAAATTTTTTTTTAAAAGATACAGGG